GCTGGGGCTTTGTCAGCCTGGCTGTGGAACCTGGAGGACCTGAGGAGGTCCCATAGAGCAGCGTATTTCTGAGCTTGGTGGGTGCTGTTGGGCAAATAATTCCTGTGGGGCTGCAGCTGCTTTCTTAGTTGCTGGAGAGGCACGGAGAGGAGGGATGCAGAGAGGAGAGTTTGGGTGGTGATGCTTCCCCTGGGAGCAGGAAACACAAGACTGCTGGGTCAAGCTCTTCTCTTGACTCTCTCAGCCAAGGACTCGGCAGCAAAATGGAGCTGGAGTTGCCTGTGGAAAACACTTCTTGCCAAGCACCAGACTGTAGTGCTGTTTGGGATGCTCCCAGCTGATCCTGTTGTGTTGAGAAGTGAGACGGAAGCTGTCTGCCAGCACCCCTCAGTCTCTGGCCTTCTCAGTGCTTGAATGGCCTGGTGCTGAGCACGGGGTAGATGGGCTGAGATGAGCTGCAGTTACATATCCTGGCAGTGCCTTTGCGCTCCTGCTCATGTGGATACGTTGTCTGCCCTCATCTTGGGGGCACAGGGGAAGCTGGATCAGTGCTGATGAGCTCTGGAGGAGGAGAGTGTCGCTCAGAGGGGAGCAAAGGACTGAGGAGATGTGGTGTTGACAGTTGAGTCCTAACAAAGAGCGGGCTGCCTGTGGGGTAAGGGAGGGTGTTGCCTCTCTGCAGCTGACTGCTGGTAACTCCCTGTGACGCAGGCGTGCTAATCTGGATCTGGCACTGGGCCTTGGACACTCACATCCTATTTCTGCTTTGGTGTAGCCGTCCTACGTGTTTGTTTGTTCCTCCCTCATCCCTGACTTCTGTTAAGCCCCGTCCTACCTTCATAGTTTAGACTAAACTTGAGAGGCTGAGCCAACAGCAAGACTCAATGGGCTTGTGGGGAGAAGGGGAAGGATGGGGGTGCATCATGCCATGTGGGGCTAAACCCTTTTGCTGCTTTTCTGTTCTAGATATTGCTGTGGAGTTGCTGCAGAAAGTGGCTCCAAGCCCTATTCGCAGACTCCAGAAGAAATATGTGTCCCACGTATCTCGGTAAGAAGCAAAACCTGTCCCTTCCTGTCCTGTGTAAGAGCTGAGCACTCTGGTCTCACCTGTGACTCACTTCTGTCCCCTGGGCCAGCACTGGCTTTGTACTTAGGGCTGATTAGTGTCAAAGAGGAGCCAGGGCAGGTGGCAAGGCCAGCAGGCACAGTGGCTTCCTGACACAGCCAAGCGTGCTTCAGTGCATTGCTCTGGGGTGCAGGGGTGCTCTTGTTACTGGGAGCCTGTGCCAGCTGGATCTGCAGTTCTCTGGGTCTGAACCCTGGTGCTGCTCCTGGCCACTGAGCTCTCATGCATGCCTGCCCATGGGCTCGGTTCGGAGCTGGCTGTGCAGGGGAACGGGAGCCAGGGCTTTCTGCTCTCCAGCCTGGATCCCCTACACTTTCTCTTGGCTGGGACATATCTGTCTGCTTACTAAACCTCCCTGCTGCCTGTGTTGGAGGGAGCAGCCAAGCTGCGCTGTGGTGTCTGGGGTGTCTGCAGCATGCAGGTGACCTGTGGGTTGGTTCTTACCCTGTCTGTCCCACAGGGAAGCTTGCATCTCGCCCTGCTCCATGATGCTGGCGCTGGTTTACATTGAGAGACTTCGGCATCGGAACCCTGAATACCTCCAGCAGATCTCGTCTTCAGACCTCTTCCTGATCTCCATGGTGGGCAGCGTGGGCTGGGGGATCGCTGGGTGGGAGGCAGGCCTGGCAGAGTGCAGGGGGGACTGAGATCCTGTCCTTTGTGCTGCCTTTAGATGGTTGCTAGTAAGTACCTGTATGACGAGGGCGAGGAGGAGGAGGTGTTCAACGATGAGTGGGGAGCAGCAGGGAAGGTGGATGTCCAGACCATGAACACGCTGGAGATGAACTTCCTGAGTGCTATTGTAAGTGGGGCTGTCGTTGCAGGCAGCTCGTTCAGGGAGCAGGGGAAAGGAGGCAATGAGGGGAGTCTGGATTTCTGTTTTTCCCCGGTGTACTCTCATGAAGGGATAAAGAAGGATGTGTGCAGGTGCTGGGTGGCCTGCCCAGACCGTGCTGACCTGTCACTGCTGTCCCCACAGGACTGGAGTCTCTACACTGATCCCCGGGAGCTATTTGAAGTGCTGAGCTGGCTGGAAGGACGGTAGGTGTCTGGGGCGGGGGCCAGCCTTGCCCCTGCTCTGAGCTGGCCCTGCTGTGGTGAAATAAGAGGTCGAGGCACCTGTGAGCCTTTGCAAGGTGCCGCAGCTCCCGTCCACAGACCCTGAGCGGAGTCTTCTCCCAGCCCGCCTGGGCTGAAGCTTCTTTGATGGGGAAGGTCTGTGCCATATCAACCCCTCCCTTTTTTCCTCCAGCGTGGCAGAAAAGCAGGGCATGTGGCGTGGTTGGTTCACCTACACGGATCTGTGCGTCCTCATGGAGCAGTCTTTGTGGCAGCATGTGCTGGGCCAGTTCTACCAGCAAGTGGTGAAGGTAAGGCACGGGGACGGCAGCTGCTCACAAGAACACGGGACCCAGCAGGCTGTGGGTTGGGAGCAGGGCCTCCTTTTCCACTGGGAGCAGCAGCGTGGTCCGTTCCGTTTATGAACGGCTTGTAACGGTTGCCTCCTCTGCAGCTGGCCTGCCTCCTGGGCGTGGTGTACCTGACCGGCTTCGCCGCCGTCTTCGCCTCCGTCACCGCGGTGCACCGCTCCGTCTGCGTGAGGAGCGCGGGCCC